GCCCCATGTACAATCAATACTTATCATGTACAGCTACACAAATTGTTTCCTTAAACGATACTTCTTTGGCTCGCCTCTCTATTTTTTGTTGTGTCACCGATGAACACTAATAGTTAAAAAAGAGAAGAAAACCAAGGAGGATTCACCTTCTTTATTATCACATAGTACTGGCATAAAAACTATTCATATGTACAATTCAAAGAGTAGTAACAGATACAATAAAAACGCATTAAACACGAGGATGTTCCTGTTACACATTTATTGCTATATCCCTACACCTTACCCATCTAACTTAAACCCAGTACATTTCTTTTTAAAATTACCTGTAATCAAAATCATTTAATAATAAGAATAAAACAACATAAGCAGCTTTGAATGAGCTCATCATGTTTTCACATCCATCAAGCAATAAAACACGAGGCATTTATTCCACATGCAAATGCACATTCAAAGTTCATACAGTATTTTTCTTTCTTTATAATGAGTTTCTAATTATTCACAAGCACACTTTATCTTAAATACCTAGCTTCAATCTCTATTCACCTATCATTTTCATTCATTCTCTCATGCAATAAATGCACACATGCCCATGCATAGATTAAGGGCAATATTTTACAAGGCAATTTACATTTTTTTTTTTTTTTTTTTTTTTTAACATTCTGAATGTGTATATCATGGATCTTCACTATGGGAACCCTATTGGGCAATTTGCTTTGATGATCGCTAACTAGCCTTAAAGTAAATATTACAGTACCCTTAATTCAATGGATCTAGATGCTTCACTGCTATCACATGGCCCAAAATATGGACATTAGGCTTTCTTGACTGGACACACTGATGGGTGTGCAGCCTGTAGGCCAAGCACCAAAAAACACTCATGTGTGGTGACAAGAATCCTCGCTTCTCCTTTAAAATGTTCTCTCTTTCTGCATAAGGGTATTAGTCTCTTTTCTTTGCTAGTTTCCAATGTCTTTATTTGTCATCTGATTCGCTTTATCCAGATGGTAACAGACTGTTTTCTTTGCAGACTATTTCATCTCTCTAGGTAGCTCAGAACTCAGTACAATAATAACAATAATAAGGAACATTTTGTTATGTCCTTTTTTAATATTAAATTTTTTATAATAAAATCTGTACTGCCAGTCACTGCGGCCAGGAATAGAAATCAGCACCGTCCCTGGAGCTGGCACTCCTCCAGTCTTGGCTCATGGACAGCACATTCTACACGCATTTATTGATGGAAATAATGCAAGCCTTTCCTAAATCTCAAATGAGTCTAAATCAACCTGTAAGAGCTTTGTGCACTTATGGCGAGTCATTCCTCACCTCAGCCTTCAAGCCATAATGCTCACGACATCAAATTTCCCATGATGGTATGTTCATGTCACCCAACCCTCGAACCAAATATTTTCATGACATGATTGGTCACCTCATCTGGATTATAGGAATTAATCATTTAGTGGATAATCTATTTCATTATCAAATAATAATAATAATAATTATAATAAACAGATTGACAAATTTCTAATATATCCACAGATATGAAAGGCTTTAAACTAATGCAATTTCTGTTGATCAAGTGGACGCTATAACATTGCCTAAAACAACCCAATACCCCTGATCTAAAAAAAATAAGTATCTGAGCAACAACCCTGGATTATGAGGACCCAGAAAGCCATAGGACCTCAGGATTCACAGTGAAATCATTAAGTGTCACTGTTCCTGTATCTCTAGAAGAGAGGAGATGCAAAACTGTCCTGGAGCAATGGTCCCTCAAAGCCTACACTCCAGTTTAAAGCAGTAGGCTGCCCATGGCCACTCCGGTGTCTAGCCCACTAATAGGTTTGGTTCAGAGGAAACTCCAGCTCACCACCATGTCCCTAACAGGGGATATTGTATTTGAGGGGCCAATATATATTCAATATCTAAATAGATGGTCAGTGACTTCCTCCAAGTATATACAATATTTTGGCATCACTCAGATCAAACCAAGGACTTCAAATCATTCAATCACTGGTAGCCGCACACAATGCACTCTCAAAAAGCCCTTTAGATTACAGCAATAGATATCACTTGCACTTTTTGAACTGCTTGGGATTTAACCAAAACATAACGAGCTCTCAAAACTGCTTGAAAAATAAACTACAAGTCAATATACAAGCTTTTATTGTGAAGAGATAGCATTTGAAACAGTGTGTTAAACATACCTTTTCCACTTTTTCAAATTATAAGACCTCATCTGAAAAAAAGAGACATCAATTACTTATCTTAATGCACTCACACTGAGGATATATAAAGAAATGAAAAGGAGGGGGGAGAGAATGAGAGGAGAGAAAGATTCAGAAGAGATGAGAGGGAGGGTGTGGAGGGGAGGGAGGAGGAGGAGATAAGTGGGGAGGGAGGGGCAGGGAGGGGACAGGGTGGGGAAGGAGGGGCACAGGAGGGGCAGGGAGGGGGACAGGGTGGGGAAGGAGGGGGCACAGGGGGAGGGGAGGGAGGGGGAGGAGGAGAGAGAGAGGAGAGGGAGAGGAGAGAGACGAGAGGAGAGAGAGAGAGAAGAGAGCGAGGGGAGAGAGAGAGAGGGAGAGAGAGAGAGAGAGAGAGGAGAGAGAGAGAGAGGGAGAGGGAAGAGAGAGAGAGAGGAGAGAGAGAGAGAGCGAGAGAGAGAGAGAGAGAGAGAGAGAGAGAGAGAGAGAGAGAGAGAGAGAGAGAGAGAGAGAGAGAGAGAGGAGAGAGAGAGAGAGAGAGAGAGAGAGAGAGAGAGAGATAATATCCTAACATGACATATGACCAACAATATCAAAAAACCACAAAACTAAGTTGTTGTTTTTTTTTTTAACTCAGTCATACCTCTTGCTCTATGTACATCTTCCAGAACTTGCCCGTGGTGGGGAAAGTGGTCACTAAGCGTTCAAAGATGGGTCTAGCACTGTCTATGGCACGATTCTGGGCATCACGTATGATCAAGCTCCATGCCTCCATGTCATGGGGGTTGGATTCCGTTGTGGCCCATGCCCTCCGCAGCTTCTCCGTCCCGAATTCCTGTAAGAACATCATGATTTTCATTCATATCATTCATCAACCAGAAATCTGTCTAAAATCAATTAACAGTTTGGGATGAAGGCAACTAATTTTACTTTCAGAGAAATTACCACTTCAAGATGCACAAAAAATTATAATGCATTCCAGACTATCAGAAGCAAAATACGCTAACTGGATATAATGAACACACTATAATAAGTAGCTCATCTTTGCAATATCTGTAAAGGAATGTGTTAGCAAACCTCTATATTCTTACAAAATAAAGGAAAATAAAAATTAAATAAAATAATAATAATATAATTACAACCCAATGCAAACTACATTACCCTACATAAAATCCTCTATGGGTTGTTCATAAAATCAATACAGTACATGCTGCTTTACTCTAATAACTATGAAAAAGAGAAAAATTCCTTTGAAACCTTGTCACCCTTGAAAGAGTACTGGTCCTGTAATCATGAAAGGAACAGTGTCTTTCCCTAAAAACTCATTCTTGCCCCTTGTTAGATTTCTTTGCATTTGCACCTTTCTTAACACAATCAATTTATATGACAGTATCCAACTGCCTTCCTTAGCCGAGTGTCCAGTGTTTCCACAGCAAACATATCCAGCATATCTCCAACTCAAGTGTGAAAGAGTAAATAACAATCATAAGCCCCCTTTCAGGCCTACAAGACCCTTTTCTAAGGAATCTGAAGAGCTACGCAAAGCAGTAAACATTAATGAGAAGAATATGTGTAGAAGTGTCAATCTCATCAGCAGGTATGATTTGAATGAGAGTAGCAAGGGTCAGTTTCATTGACTGGGACAGGTTCAGTGCACTAGTACAACAATCTGATTCTTCCTTGTATTCTTTGGTTTATCTGACCTACAAACTATCTTCTTGTAGATGTTTTATCTTGAAATCAATTGTGCAATGAAATGACAGAATGGTAAATTATGGGAGCATAGTGACAGTGTGTGGCTGTTGAAGTACGGCAGTGCTAGAGACCTGTGATATTGCGAGTCACTTGGCCTTTTGCTGTAATTATCAGCATACCCCTTAAAAAGCTACACACTGTATTAAGGCCTATTCTATTAGTAATACACTTGAACCTATGATTCATATTTCGTCAGGATGCTTAAACATCATCTTAGCCAAATCATCATCACTAAATAAAAAGCAAGGGATGAGACATTTCTCTTTATAAAGAAATAAATGTATGTTTTTTAAATATAAAGAAGAATGCCAAGTATAAAAATAAAAAAAAAAAAAAAAAAAGTGAATTTAATTTCCACAGACCTGCATTTGAACTGGAAAGACATGAACTTTAAATGACAATATATTTACAGAAAACAGCCTTACATCAAATTCTCATAACGTATTAGTTCTGTTCCATCCAGTAATTTTTCACTTGATATCTAATACACTTGTTTGATTTGCTTATTCTGTTTATCAACTAAAAATCAATTCTATTTTCATAAGTTAATATTCAAGATATAATATCTAACCATACAGACAAGACAAATCATGTTTCATACAACTCCTAAAATAATATATAACAACATTTTAAATTCATAACTTAAGGATAAATCCTCCTCTTCTAACCTGAGAATTGTGCAATAACAAATGTTTCTAATGTGGCTGTTATCTTTCATAAGAAAGGAGGAAACTACATACACAAGAATATTCATGCATGACAAATTCTTACAAAAAATGTTGCATGTCAGAGTGCCTGATGACATGTCAAATGCTGATTTAAATCTTAACATAGTAAAGCTATTATTAATATATGACTAACATCTAAAACATTAGCACTTAAAGTTAGTTACTTTATGTCTAAAAAGTCAGGCTTAGAATTTCTCTATACAAAATTAAAATTTGCATTCATAGCTTCTTCCCTGGTTCTACCTGGATCTATCTGGATCTACACCAACTAGTTTTCACATTCTGATACTAAATTAGAATACAGCATTATAACAATCTCTCCTATACGAGAAATATTCAACCAATAACCGAATATCAACAGGCGATTCCATCAGTGTATTGAACCCTATACCTATTTGCCACACACCAGAAACCCAAGCAGCATAGGAAAAAACTTGCCACTCACTATGATTTTGGCTGCAGCATATATCATTCTCCAGTGAATGTGGCTCCTTTAACAGAAAATCAAGAGAACACACAACTCATAGCAGGCTTGATGCACATGCATGCCACCTGGAGAGCAAATCAGGTCATAGCCAGTGACATTTTTCTCTAGTCTACCTAACATTCCATGATTATCCCCTACACAGTCACTCTAAAAAACAAGAAATAAGTAATGACGAAAATCCAGACTGATGACACATTACACAAACACCTCTTCAGTGAGTGTATCCCAATGTAAAATCAAGAATCCATTACAGCACAGTGAATTAATACACAGAAATGATCCACCAATGCATATTCCCTAGTTCAAGACCCTGCAATATGTATTAACCGCATAGCCATTTTTCTGCTTCTCGACCCTACAGTCAACACAAATCACCTATAGTTCACACTAGCCATTCTTGTCAGCAAGGACACATGCCGAACTGAGCCCTTTGTCTATGTTATGGATTACACCTGCCATCAGCCATGCATCCTAATAAATCAATCAGTAATTTAATTAAACTTAGCATTACATGTCAGTATGCTGTGACACTGACAGGACAAGCATGTGTAAACAATTATCGGTTACTTTCTCCGATAAAGCTTGGTTATTTGCAATCAGCAAACTGTTCTGCACCCAGTTATCACTGGCCATAATGATAACTGGGTGTTAACTCTGCAAATATGGTGAAAAATCTACAGGTGTGTAGATAAAATCCTAGGTATGAGTGGATAAATGTGTATGTGTGGGTGGACTTATTTTTTCTAATCAAAATATTGACTTTTGGTACCTAAGATTGCCCGCAAACTGCCAAATGAGACGGGCACCAACAGACGAAATTGTTGGTGTGTGCCAACAATCCCATGTTAATGGCCACTAGCCATTTTGTGTTAATGGGTTAAATGAGTGGGTAAATTTTTAGGTGTACAGTATGTGGGTGCATATTTAGGCGCACATGGTTGTCTTTAGCTATGCAAGTGTGTGGGTGAGTAAGAGTTGGTCTTCAAGTGCATAAATAGGCTTGGATTAATTGCAGATATTTGGATGGATAAAAATATACCAGAAAATGGAAAAAATATCAATGTGGCAACAAATCTAAGTGTGGCTAAGTGCGCATCACTATAAGTACAAAACAGAGTCAAATGTAGCAAGGATTTGTCTTGCATAATAAAGTACAAAAACAATCCATACCAAAGCTTTACATTATTGAATTTCAATCAAAAATAGACACTAAATACTTCTGTGGCATCCTAATTCTGAGGTTACTTCCTCTACAATTCATATATACAAACAAAAAAACGGTTTCCACTGCCTTAAAATAAAAACTTTTGCCTGGCAATCCTCTTTCATTACCAGCCTACCTTTATCGAGCTCTAAACCTTCAATATTTCCTCTTCTTTATCATGTAATATAAACAAATAGAAAATTATGTTATATATATACACAAGTAAAAATATATATAGCCAAATAAAGAGCTGAACAACTATGGAAATAGTCTTCATCTAATGTGTAAATGTACCTCCTCTAAAAGACATCTGAAATGCCTTTTCAATAAGAGGACAAAATAAGAATATAAAGGCATGGGAGTGCTCTATTAGTCACAGAATTTTCCTTGCCAAATCGAGCCAGGAGCCAGGGTTTGTGTACTTTAACCCCGTTTTTGTGGAGCTGTAGCTCCTGGACAGTCAGACTCAGGGCTAGACAAGTGATCAACTGTTTTGGGTGCACAACAAGCTGACAACATATCCTTAATACCCGCCCTTTGACTCAGATGCAATTCTCTACATCATATACTGTAAATACACATTTACAATTTTTGCACATCAATGTTGTGCAATTACTGAACTCCAGAAGTTGAATGAGAAAAAAAATTAACTGACTCACATCATCAAAGTTCAATACTCCTTTATCTTTGTTCTTTTTTCACTGATCTTTGTATACACACACTGCTTGTGCTCATAATTATCATATGCAAATACTAACAAACATTAAATCAAAGAAATTAACACAATGCCACTGGGAGAATGTTGTGTTCACTTTACTATTGTTTTTTTAAAGGTCTCTGCACATATATGGCTCTGCCAGTGCTTAGCCACAAAGAGTCAATTAGTGGACCTCGGGTGGTTTTCATGAAAGGTCTTAAGACTTTTCTTTACATTTTTGTCTTTGATTTGCACTGTTGCCACATCTCAAAGTTAATGCTGGTAATAGAATTAACAAGGAACTCATCATAGACCCTATTTTGATAACCTTTTGTAATAAAAGATGTGGTAATATGGCAATATATCTAACTGATATCACAATGGTAATATTACACATTTAGTATATTCAAATGTGATGTGGCATGCCTGCATTTATTGTCATTGCATCAGCTGAAAAGGTGGGCAGCACTGTTTTTTAATAAAATACAACAATAAAACCTAGGAGTGGCCTCATAATTTTTCTTATTATTTCCAAAGCAGAATAATCTTCAACTGAGGAAATTTTCAACCATATTCAATCCAGAATTATCTTCAAATTTGTCTATAATTCGGTAAAAGTTTCAGGACAGGTGAGAAAGTGTCCCACCCACGTAAGGATTGTCTTTAAAACTGCAATGCAAATTTACTTAATTTGAAGATAATTCTGCATCAAATAAGATAGAAAAAACTTTGAAGATCCATTTGATAGATTGTTAAACATTAATTTAGTTGTTTCTAATATTTCACTGCTATTTTCGATTCATAAACGTAAGGACAGTCTTAAATTTGGTTTTATGCAAATTTCCCTCTGTTGAAGATTACTACGCTTTGGAAATAAGAAAAGCTTCAAGGCAAACCTGTTTTATTCCTATATTATATAAAATAGAAAAAATAAAGTCACCTGCCTCCTCAGCTGAAGCAATGA